TTGTTCTCTTCCTTAAGAGCATCATTGTTCTTCTCTTCCTTGAGCTTCTTATTTTCTTCTTTGAGCTTCTCATTCTCAAGGATCAAGTCACCATCATGATCAAGAGTTTCTAGCACAATAGTGTTGTGGCTTTTAATTTCTTCAAGATCTTTTTTGAACTTTGTATTATCATTCTTGAGCTTGACAAACTCATCATAATCATCGGCCTCAACCACTTGTTTGTCCTTGCTACTAGAACTTTGCTCAATGCTCTCAATGATCAAGTCATCACATGATGTGGCTATATCAATCTTAACAACATGGTTAGTAGCATCATGTGGCTCATTGGATAGAAATTCTTTAGCTATGACAAGATTATTATGATTAATCTTAAGAGTTGTATATTCTTCTTTTAGCTTGTTGTGGCTAGTGATGAGCTCTTTGTGCACCCACTCAAGTTTATCATGTTTATCTTTAAGCTCTTTCTTAGAAGATTTGAGCTCCTTGAGTTTGGATGACATAGCATCATTTGCTTCTCTAAGCTCAACACTAGCCTTTTTGGCTATATCACATTTAGCTAAAAGGGAATTATTTTTAGCCTCTAGTTTTTCATTCTTAGCTCTAGTCTTTATAATGATCTTAGTGTATTGTTTGAGCAATCTAGCAAGATCATCATAAGAAGGTGACTCATATTCATCATCATCACTATCGCTATCATCATTACTAGCATGTTCATCACCACTACTGTCATCATCATTTGTTACCTTGCGTTCACCCTTGGCCATAAGGCATAGGTGTGTAGAGGATGATGGCAGTGGTGGCGGTGAAGATGATGAAGAGTCAATAACAATAGCAGCCACCTTCTTGTCGTCACTATCATCATCGGATGATCCACTAGATGAATCAATGTCCGTGAGCCAATCACCGACGATGTAAGCCTTTCCACTCTTCTTCTTCTTGTGAAAGTCCTTCTTGCCATCTCTCTTCTTGTATGGCTTGTTCTTTTTATTCTCATCTTCATCTTCATTGCTTGAGTCATCTTTCTTGCCCTTACTCTTGTTCTTGAACTTGTCTTTCTTAGGCTTGGTGCATTGGTGTGCTAGATGACCAAGTTCTCCATAATTGTAGCAATCCATCTTGGAGATTGGCTTCCTTCTAGAGCTTGTGAAGAACTTCTTCTTCTTGCCATCGAACTTGATGCCACTCTTGTTGAGCTTCTTTAATATCTTGGCGGTTTTCTTCACCATGAGAGCAAGGCTTTCATTATCAAATTCATCATCACTTGAGCTCTCATACTCAAGCCTTGCTTTGCCCTTTTCTTGGCTAGCTTTGAATGCTAAATCTTTTTTTTTCTTCTTCGTAGAGGATGAGCCATCTTGAGGTGTGATGTGCATATATATCTCATGAGCATTGATCTTTCTCAAGATTTGTGTCGGTGTAGCGGTGGAAAGATCACCTTGATGTAACACGGTCACAATATGCCCATATTTGTCAATGGGGGGGACACTCAAGATCTTTCTTACAATATCGGATGGTTGCATTTGAGTGAGTCCAAGCCCATTGACTTTCTCTATAAGAACATTCAAACGTGAATACATTTCATTAGCACATTCTTTGGGAAGCATTTCAAAAGAGTTAAGCTTTTTCATGACAAGATGATAGCGTTCCTCACGCTCACTCTTTGTTCCCTCATGGAGCGCACCAACGTCCGACCATAGTGCATGGGCGTCTTTGTGGTTCCTCACCCGGTTGAACACATCTTTATAAAGGCCTCTAAATATGGTGTTTCTAACCTTTGCATTCCATTTTTCATAGTTCAACTCATCGCCTTGTGGGTGTGCGGCATCCCGAGGTTTTGGGAAACCTTGTGAGGCGGCTCTAAGTATTCCAACATCTAGAGCTTCTAGATACGCCTCCATACGGATTTTTCAATATGAAAAATCTTCCCCCTCGAAGATAGGAGGAGGTCCATCCCTGTGAGACATCTTTCACTAGGCGGTTAAGCCTAAATACGTGAGCACGAGGCTCCGATACCAATTGAAAGGATCAAGATGCCCAAGAGGGGGGTGAATTGGGCTAATTCTAAATTTTTTTGCAATAATTAAATCCTATGGTTAGCCCAATTAACCCCTTGTGCCTAGAAAGTGTTTCTAATTGTTCTACCGCACAAAAGACTTGCAACATAAGTTTCAATCCTACTCTAGCATGGCAATTCTATGAATGTAAAGACAAGAATTGAATTGCTTAAAGTAAATGCTCAAAGTAAATAGAGAAGGAGGAATGCGGCGATGTTTTGCCAAGGTATCGGAGAGTCGCCACTCCCCACTAGTCCTCGTTGGAGCACCCGCGCAAGGGTGTAGCTCCCCCTTGATCCGCGCAAGGATCAAGTGCTCTCTACGGGTTGATTCTTCGACACTCCGTCGCGGTGAATCACCCACAACCGCTCATAACTTGAGTTGGGTCATTCATAAGCTCTCCGGATGATCACCAAGCTCCCAATCACCACCAAGCCGTCTAGGTGATGGCGATCACCAAGAGTAACAAGCACGAACTCTCACTTGACCACAACAAGCCTAATGAGAAGGGTGGATGCACACTTTGCTACTCTTGATCTCACTAATGATGGCCCTCTTTGGGATTCTCAAATCTCAATCACCTCACTAGGATCTTGCTCTTCTTGGCACTCTCTAAGGTGTTTCTCAGCTGTTGGAATGAGCAAAAGTACCCCCACACACGAGTGGAGGTTCTATTTATAACATGGGCTGAAAAACGAACCGTTATGTGCCTCTGCGGGGTGACCGGACGCTCCGGTCAGTACACCCCGAACTCCAGTGTTTACAGTGTGACCGGACGCGTCCGGTCGTGATTTTCCCTCTCTGGAACCTTACTAGAGTCGACCGAACGTTGGCCCTTAGCGTCCGGTCACTTCACCTCTCAGCGTCCGGTCGCGCCAGACGCAATCACCTTGGTCAAATGAACTGACCGGACTCTGCGCTAGCGTCCGGTCAACCCGGAACCAGCGTCCGGTCAGTATTTGACCCTCCATTCACTTCCAACTCTCGATCATATGTGAATGAAGTTTGCTCTATTGGATCTAAGGGCTGTTTTGGAGCTACCTAGTGCTAGTTTTAACAAGTGTGCACCACACCTAACTCACTAGACTCACCTAGGTCAAGCTACCCGTCCATACCCCCTTAATAGTACGGCCAAAGGAAAAACAAAGTCCTAAACTACTCTAAGTGTCTCTTCAACTCCAAACAACACTTAGAACTAGTCCATCCTTAACCTCGTCGTCCATCCTTTGAAAACCGAAACGATTTCCATCGTAGGGGCATGACCACCATGATTGCCCAATCGATCTCCATTACCGTGACCTAACTTAATTGTCTCTGCAAAACACACGTTAATCACAGTAATCACGTATTGTCATTAATCACCGAAACCCAACTAGGGGCCTAGATGCTTTCAGGGGGCAACCCCTCTTGTTTCACTCAAAAAAATGATAGCAACCTTAATTTCGAGAAGTCTTTGCATATCAAAGCCCTATTTGTGCTCTTGCTCGAGACTGTGCCTATGTTGTTGATGATATTAATAATCTTTCTAACTCTTGAAATTAACATGTGTACTCACCAGGAGTTCCTGTTCTATATATTTGTTTTATGCTTCAAAATCTTCCCAATTTGGAAGGCTAGAGGTGAATAGAAATGTTGGTTCTTACATCAAACAACCTAAGCAAGCGAAACTGGTGAAGCGACCCGATTTGCAAACTTTGCAAGTTTAATCCGGAAACACTCATGCATCTGTGCGAAGACTATATCTTTACCAAAGAGGTGTGGTCCATAGTCAAAAATTGCTTCAACTTATTACAACCGCAAAACAACCCCGAAAACAGCTCTATTTGCAAATACCGAAAAAAAATGCAGAGTGAAATTCGATAAGGCACATAACGTCTCTTTTGACGGAATTCTAATCTATGTTTGGTGGAATATCCAGAAGGAGCGAAATTAAAGAACTTTCCAACAAGAAGAGCTACAACCCATACAAGTCGCACAACCGATTAATGATGATATTCAACGGTTCAATACGGCAACACAACAAGCCATCGTCTCATCTTGAACCACCTCTAGTGTCCCTTACTATCAGTGTGAGCATTTTTTTCCAGTTTTATTTCTTGGCCGCCCAGCTAGACGTTTAGCATTTCTTCTTTTTATCGGTTTCAGTCTTTTGTCTTCGTTTCAGTTTTTTTTTTTTGTTTAAGTTGCTTTCCTCGTAGCTGAGTCAACAGGTGGTTTTGTAATTATCGTCTTGTCTTTGTTTTCTCTTTTGTTCGTCTAATAAATTTTGTGGCAAAGCTCTTACCGTATTTGTTTTTAACAACGCCAGCTTTGTTGGAACGTCGTTTCTACTCGTAGCTAAACTTGTTCACTTGTTGTGGGCCAAGAGCCACCAGCCTGCAACCCTAGACGGACTGAAAATCCAAACACGATTTAAAAAAAAAAGAATGTACAATGGACCCACAGGCGGTAATCCAAAAGCTGTAGTACTCTTCTATAAGCTGGCAGCCTGGCACACACACAAGAGTACAAGACGTTTCAGTCTAGCTGCATATGTGGTTACATAAGTACTTGCAGTGGCCTCTGCACCAGTGGTAAGCCGTGGTTGCAAAATTGAACCTATGTGCATTTTCTGTAATGTCGGTACCGTCGTGTGGTCGAGAAATACAAAGCTTACAGTTTAACTGTTTATTCATTACGGAACAAAATAAGAGTTTATCCTTCGGCTTTTCCGGGGCGAGGTGTTGGAAGATACGGCCATAGTAGAGCCATATGAAAATACATGTTCAGCATTGGGTCATCCACTAGGTGATCTTGTTTTTTCTTCTTATTTTCATCCACATGCATGTCTATATGTACTCCTACATTGACACCTTGCGAAGACCTGCAGCTGCGTCACATATACTCACACTAATTGTGAGGGAGCTCCGTCAAGAGCAAGGAACGGCGTAGGAGGGCCTCCAACCAATGGCCATCCACGGTGGGGCATCCTGCAGGCTCGCTGCCGTGTGCTTGTTGTTGCTCGAGCTCGCGCTGCAGGGTGGTGCCGGTGCTGCGGAGCCGCTCGTGCCGGCGATGTTCGTGTTCGGGGACTCCATAGTGGACGTCGGCAACAACAACTTCATTGAGAAGTGCGAAGTCGACTGCAAAGCCTACTACCCGCACTACGGCGTGGACTACCTCGACCATGCACCCACCGGCAGGTTCAGCAATGGCTACAACCTGGCGGACAAGCTAGGTATGTACGCGAGTGATTCTCAGCAAAAGCAGGATATATAGGATTGTGTCTGACGAACTTGTTACCGATCAATTGAACAGCACAGGAGCTTGGCTTTGCCGAGAGCCCGCCGCCTTTCCTGTCCCTGTCGAACGCGAGCCAGTGGATGAGCACGGGCATCAACTTCGCGTCAGGAGGGTCGGGGCTCCTTCCTAAAACCGGCAATGGACCAGTAATGGTACATCTACGCACGAACACGCATGTGCTGTTTTGATGAGCACTTCTCTTTTATCCATACACGCATTTCGCTGACCAGCAGGGTTTTAATTTGTTTCTGTGCAGTGTAAGCAAGTTCTGTCCATGGCTGATCAGGTCGGGGACTTTACGAATCTTGCTCGACTGTGGGCAAGTGGTGATAACAGGTTAGCCGATCTCTTATCCAAATCTCTCTTCTTCATCAGCGCCGGCAGCAACGACCTGTTCGAGTACATCGATATAGGCCCCCAAACCAACGACACGGAACTATTGCAAAGCCTCGTTGCCTCCTACGCAGCCTATCTGAGGGTATCGCCGAAATACTCCATCCATTCTGTCTTTTACTATACTGACGTACATGTCAGGTTCTTCTCTGAGATCGAGTGAGATGCTGCAGGACTTGTATGGCGTTGGGGCAAGGAAGTTCAGCGTGGTGAGCACGTCGCTGGTGGGTTGCTGCCCGTCGCAGAGATTCATAGCTCATAATCCCCAGGACCCCAAGGCCACCGACAAGTACGGGTGCCTCGCCGCGCTGAACAACCTCTCCAGCCAGCTTTACCCCATGTTCGCCACCATGCTGCAGGACCTCAGTGGGGAGCTGCCCGGCATGAACTACTCCTTGGTCGACTCGATCAAGATGTCCGAGTGGGTATTGGAAAACCCCTCCACGCCTAGCTACAGTAATGAACATCAAGCTCAGCTCCTCCCACAAAAATTTTTAAGGCTATGTTCAGTTACAAAAATTTCTTATAGAATCTTAAGGCTCTGTTCGGTTACCCCGGAACGGACCGTTCTACATGAGGAATGGTTCCGGAGTTATAGAAATTAATGAAGAAACGGTTCGGCTGGGAATCAATCCCATACAACCGAACAAGGCCTAAAAGGTTCCGATTGAGATATAATTCTCATATATGTCAATGCTTTGTCTTTTTTTCTGCACAGACTTCACAGTGCTCGACACGGCGTGCTGCGGCGAAGGGCAGTTTGGCGCGTCCGGGTGCAACTTCTCGGCTCCCCTGTGCCCGAGTCGCAGCAACCACCTCTTCTGGGACAAGTACCATCCGACTGAAGCCGTGTCGCAGATCGCTGCGAAGATAATATTCGGCGGCAACGGGACCTTCGTCCACCCGGTCAACGTGCAGCAGCTGGTGGCGTCGGCGGCGTCGCGGCCATGAGCTAGCAACATTTTATTTGCATGGTTGTCAAAGCTCATGCATGCTTCGATGATACGAATGATATACTACTATCACTGCAACTGTAATAGCAATATTAATAATAAGTGTCAGTGTGACAGACAGTGTGGGTGCGACAATTAGGAGATTGGTTTTATTAGGGCTATATATACTATAGAGATGATTCTTGTGGGCGTCGAGACTTGACAAGGTTCTCATCAGGGCGGCGTGTTCGTGACCGAAGATTCCAATGCACTGATACCTGTTGCTTGTCATGTACTTGTACTTCCCAGACAAAATATGCTGGGGTATATAATTATATATACACACACATCTCGGACCAATGATAATGACTGCATTGTGTTGTTTCTATGTTTTATTTAAACTCTGTGCGCCGCACTGGTCCTTTTTGTCAGGTAGGGAGGGTGAATAGCCATGTGGTCCTCAGACTTTTGACCGATTCTTAGTTTGTTCCCTCAAGCTTTGGATTTTTTGTCGGGTAGGAAAAACCAAAGGGTGAACAGCCATATGGTGCTCAGATTTTTGACCGATTCTTAGTTTGTTCCCTCAAGCTTTGGACTTCTAGTTCAAAATTGATCCTAACAGCCAAGAGCAACTTAGGAGTTTGCCCTTGTTCGGAGAAAGCCATTAAGAGAAACGGCTTCATCCAGAATTTTGGTTACATGGATGCGAAAGGACATTTCGTTTAGTGGTAGGGTTGTCCAGTGAGACACTACCCACAAAAGTTCATACCATGGTGTCACATCTTTTTTTCTGATTTTTTTTCAAAAAATAGAGTACATGCACGCGTGCGCGTTCGGTGGTACTGCATGTTTTCTGTGAATTTGAGGGCTCCAATCTTTTCTTTGTGTGTGTACGAAGACGCGCACGCGTGTGTGTACGTATGGTGTGAACGTGAAGTGTGTGTTGTATGCGTCCAAGTTGTACCCGATAAAAAAAAGAAATTTGGTTCAATAATGCATAGACGCGGGTGCCCTTACCTCCGGCTCATTCTTTGCCGCCATTGCCATACCCCCATCCCACGCATGCGTCCCCATCCCGCACCAAAGATCCCCTATCGCCCACTCCGCCTCATTGCGCCCGTCCCTTGTCATTGCGTCATACTGCGTGTACCCCCCCCCATCGTGGCAAGGTGTTGTCGAGGTGCTTCCACTACCACAGTTCCCCACCAGGAAGGTCGTGGCCGTCGCGACGCGCGACCTCAGCAAGAAGATGTTGCGCTGAAAGCGTATGTTGCAAATGTATGTTTTAAGCATTTTAGATGTTTCAGATGTATGTTGCAAGTGTTTTATATGGATATTGCAAAAGTAGATCGGGATGTTGCATATGTTGCAAGTGTTTTAGGGGTATGTTGCAAGCGTCTATTCAAAATGTTTCATCTATTTCAGACGTATGTTACAAGTGTTTTATCTGGATGTTGCATATGTTGCAGTGGCTATACACATATGTTGGAAGCGCACGTTCTAAATATTTCAACTGTTTCAGTCGTATGTTGTAGGAAGTGTTTCATGTTGCAACTGCAGATCGCCGGCGTTGCTATCGACGAGGGTGGCAGGACCAGGTTGCGGCCACCGATGCAGGGAGGAGGCATGGGCCGCCACCCGCAGTATGGGGGAGGCGCAGGCGGTGCGGCGCCGATGTGGAAGAGGGTCGTGCGATTCCTCAATAGAGGAGTCCGACGTGTCCGCGCGTGGATTGAGCCGGGGTGGGGCGAGTCATCCGGGCCATGTGGGGCAGTCCCGCATGTGTGAGCAAAACTATGTCGGCACAGGCGGCGCACGAATCCAAGCGCACGGGGCAGAGCAGGCGCGGGTGTCCCGTCCGGACGTCTGGGCTAGCCTCTCCGAATTGGGTTAACTAGAGCATCTCTAGCAACACTACCTATCCCAGGCGCGGGCGTCCCGTCTGGACGTCTGGGCTTGCCTCTCCGAATTTGGTTAGAGCATCTCTAGCAACATTACCTATCCTAGGTGCGGGTGACCTGTCCGGACGTGCGTGAGCGTGGTGGGCACGCCTCCCTAGCCGGCACGCAAGGCGTGGCGTGGCTCCCCTACCCGGCGTGGTCTTCGCGGTGGCGTGCTCCCCCTGTCCCGGCGTGATCCTCTCGGTGGCGGTCTGCCCCGGCAACGCGAAGGCCCTCCCCGGCGGCGTGGCAGCCTGCGCGGGCTCACTGGCTGCCCCGTCGCACCTCTAGTCACCTCCAGCTCCATCCATGGCTAGAAGAAGAACAAGAGAGAGGATGGCATGTGGGACCCACATGTCATTCTCTGGTAGTATGAGTTTGGGTAGCCAGTTTTAGGTAGTACCGGTGGAATTGGGAGCACAATTTAGGTGGTATAATAATGGGTGGCAACACAAAGAGAGAAATATATTGTTTGTTTTAGGTAGTACTAGAAGCATACCCTGCGTGTTGCTGTAGGAATTATGGATTATTAGATTTCATGGTATGATGAGTGGACAACAAAATGCTTATGTGTATTGCTGATGTAGACATTATAAATTGCATGTGCTAGTGGATTTTAATTATATGTGATAGTACATTGTCTAGTTGGACAACTTGCATGTTGAGATAAATACCTAGTGGGGTTTTATTTATAAGAGTTAGAAGAGTACAAAATAAGATAAGATAGATAAGATAACATTGCTGGAGATGCCCTTACATGGCCAACCTCAAATGACACGGACTAAAATGGGCCCTGCGTGAAACTTGGAGTATCAAATTGGACAGTCTCCCTAAAGCAAGTTAGCGGGCCACCGAACAAATATTAACTCATGAATTGTACTGCCATAGTCAACGCGTTTTTATGTTCAAAAATCGTTTTTTTTTTTTGAAAACGGTGAAAAACGATATCTGCACAAGAAGAGTTCGGTACAAATAGAGGCCCAGTTACTAGTGGTGACCCACCGCATGGGCCTGGGCTATCAGTCCAGCCCAGACCCACCTCCTTCGAAACAGCGGCAGCCCACACTAGAAACGCAGAAGCCTAGAAAGGTGCACACGACATGATTGCTGGCCCACTTGGCATCGCTTTACAGCCCATCTCCTATACGGCTATACCCGCTCGGCGCCTCCGCCTCGGCCGCTCCCCCGTTCCCGTCTCCGCGCCGCCGGCCGCCAGGATCGCCCCCTCCATCCTGGCTCATCGTTCCTCGCCGCGCGCCCACGCCTGGAACTCCGCTTGCGCTGCGACGCCGCGCGCCCACGCCCACTCCCGCTCCAGCGACAGGGGGTTACTGAAACGAGATCAACCGTAATCTGATTGACTGTCCTGCACTCTCAGCAAACCCGTGGCACAAGTGGTGGGCACCGGGGAATCAGCTCGGGTTTAAGCCCAAGCCTTCGCCCCAAACCTCCATGGCGGACACCAGTGCATCGGCGGAGGCGGAGGCTAGGAGCATCCTTGAACGCGCCGCGGAGTCTTCCTTCCCGCCGCTGCACGCCGTCCACCACCTCCTTTCCGTCGGGGTACGGCTGCTCCTACCTGCTCGTGTGCTGTTGAAGTGTTCACTAATCGCTGTTTGATCTCCAACATTCGTTTTCACCTCCGCATGAGCCCGTTAGATCAGTGGAGCGGTTGTTGCGGCTGATTTTTTTTATTGCTGTAAATGCTGGATTTAGTGCTTCTCGTGTGCTCTAGGAGCATTTAGTACTATCGGCTTCGTTTGTTTGAGCAGCTTTGCTCACCCGGGCAGTTGTTTCTCTAGTCTAGATTTCATATTTGGCTACAAGGAAGAGGGGCGTTGTTCTGTGATGTGGCCTCTTTCGGTTTCAAATTCTGACTGCGTTTTGTTCAGTGGAGAGGAACACTCTTTCTTCTGTGCCCCGAGTAAGCATTACTATTAGAGGGTCTTTTTTTTTAATCTTGAGCTTTTCTCTATCTTCAAGCTCTTCTGCCATTCAGTACAGTGCACCCTATCTGCTGATACTTTATTCAGAATTGGATAAAAATAATTCGAACTCTACCGTATTGCAGGTCTGTGTGCGTTGCATCTTGCGCCTGCTTGGAGCCTATAGCAGTGCTTGCTCACATGCATCTCTTACGGCATCAGCTTTGCATTCCTTTCTCGAAGTACACGATGATTCCATAAAAGGAGGGTCCTGTCCATGTCTATCAATGAATGATGCATATTGCTCTGTCTGCTTGGGAGTATTGCTGCCAGCCTTCCATCGAGATAAAGGTCTAGAAACACCTAATGGCATTTCTCATATTGACAACATCTCTTCAATGATGTCTCAGGTAGTGCAAAGGGAGGGTTACCAAGTTGACGAGTTTTCTCTAGAAATTTCACTACCGCCGGTTATAGCCGCTAATGAGCGTGCAATTAGGTAATCATCTCTAGCTAACAATATCTGCGGCAATTATCCTCTTGCTCCAAAATTTTATCGGTTACTCATGGAGATAGTGTTAATCGTGCCAGAGTTCCATAAGTGTTTACATAATCGATATAAAAAGGGGATACAATCATATATTGTAAAGAATGTCATCACAACTTTGGTTAACTAGAAAAGGTTTAATCATAGCCAGCACTGGCCCATATTTAGTTTTGTAAACTCTTAATGGATGATTAAATGTAAATTAATTTCTTTTCTGTTGTTCAAATTCACATGGGGATGTGTTGTCTTTCTAATGTCATGTGGTACCACATAAATGTTTGCATAACGCATTGACTTTTACCTGAACAGATTATATATGAAACAAAAATATGTCAATGAGAATTGGTTCAAGGACAAAATGTTTCCACAACAAACAATTTCAGTGAAGGAAGCCTTGCGACTTTTGATAGCACCATCACTCGAGAAACTAATGGTAAGTGTTTTCTTGACTGCATTTTCTTTGTAGTTCTGGTGATACAACATTCTAAAATTAATAGTTGCTTGTTCACTTCAACATGTTTCACCGTTTTTTTTTTTTTTTTTTTTTTTGCAGAATGCTAAACATGGTAACAATTCATTTAGAATTCGCTTAGCATATAATCATGGTGATGCTTCACAAAAGCTTCATAGTTTACTGCCGAATGAGCATAGCCGTAAAAGGAAAACAGGTTTCATCATACTGGCTCTCATCTTCGGACACACTACTTTATTATACTTAAGATGGATGATGGATCATATCGTTCATCCATCTGAAGATTTTTGTGATGTTTTCACAGATTCAAGAAATGGAGGTGATACTTCAAATGAGGCCCATAAAAGGAATTCAGCAGATGGCAACAATAAACAAACAAGTGAATCAGATTCATTCATCTACAAGACTCTTGAGGGCATCCAAGATCAAGACTTCTGTAATGTATTTCAATTGCCTCCTGAAAAGGTGACTATATTACTACCATAATATTGTTTTGTTGTTGGAAATGGGAAAATGTCTGTACCAACTTTTTCATCAACTAATTCGGTCGCTTCAGGTGTTCAAACCCTGCCATCTTGTAATATCATGCTTGAGATCACCTATATATCTTGGTGGAAGATATTTGAAGGTGTGCGTGGTTATCTTTCATCTAACTTGAATTGCCATTCATAGTAGATAAAGCATATGTACCTTTTCTATTTCACTAGGTTCTGGTTCCCTGATACTACATTTCACTGTCAGCTTTCAAGGAACGTCAGTCAGTCATGTTGGATAATAGATGATGAGAGAATGGGTGAAGCTTCAGTTGAGGTAAGCTTCTCTCACACTCTCCCTTCAAGAAAGAGTGCTACATCTAAGTATCACAGCCATTGTAGGAGATAGTTGGGGAGAATGTTCGTGCCATCTGCAGAGGTGATAGCTGCAAGTTCCATGCTGCTGGGAGAGAAGACATTGATGTAATGTTATAGTGAATTCTTGAACTGTGCCTGTTGATATTCGATGTGCTGAACATATCATATATGTAGGTACGGATGCTTGGATCTGGTCGTCCATTTCTAGTTGAAGTATTGAATGTTCGATCCATTCCATCTGAAACTGAAGTTCAACAAATTGAAGAGAGAATTAACAACTCTGAAAAGAAATATGTAAGAACTGAATTCTGACACAATCAAAATTGTAGAGTACACAGGAAATTAAACACAATTGAATATTTGCATTGCATATGATTTGCTTATGTCTCATCATTCCTTAGGTCAGAGTTCGAAATCTCAAGTTAGTAGGTAATGAAATATGGACCATGATGCGTGAAGGAGAAGCAGAGAAACAGGTACTTTATGTAATTGAGGGTATCGCTTTGCTGGTGACACTGTTAGACCTGTTTCTGGCTTTCATTCAATCTTTTTTCCCTCTCATGTTGCGTTACTAGCTGAATCGCTGAATCTATTTCATTGCTGAGTTAAGGCTTATATTACTTTAATGCGCAGAAGCAGTATACTGCCCTTATATGGACTTCTCGTAATCTGACAGATGATGATCTGCATAATATTTCTATTACAAAGGATATGGTATGACAAACCTGTGGTTGATGTTGTTTTGAAATTGCTTTGTTTGACAAACTCATGTCATGTTATAGCATTGTCACGTCTGCATTGTAGGAAATTGTACAGAAGACCCCAATAAGAGTACTTCATCGTAGAAGCCCATTAGAGCGGAAGCGCATTATACACTGGTGACCTCCAGCTTTATATAGTCCATTATTCAAAACATTGTATCATGGTATCATCTGATAAGTATTTTTGTCCATCAGGATGGAGATTGAGAAAGTCACAGGCAGCTCAAGCTACTACTTGCTGCATCTATGCACACAGGTTAGTATTGCGACTAGCTTGCCATTTTCTAATGAACATCTCTGTATATCCATTGTTGGTATATGTTGTTTTTCTGCATATCGAAATGGATTGAAAAATGTTCCAGATGTTAGATTTGTTTAATAGATATCAAGGTGATGCATGGTAAGGCCTAATTGTGCCCTTAGTTTTCTGGTTGCTCTTTCTAGTAATCCTCTGGTATATGTTTAATAGGCTGGAACATACATCAAGGAATTTGTGCATGGTGATCTTGGACGCACGCATCCCAAGTAATATTGTCTTTATTTCTTTATTTAGTCTTTTTGTCACTAGCCAAATGCTAACTGTCAGATACACAAATCTTTTCATGGGAAAAATATATAACTGCATGTTCAGTCCTCATCAGTCATTTTGATATAAAGATTGAACTCATGACCTTGATTTACAGTTATACTATATTCCTGAATAGGCCTCGTTCCACTTTGCCTATTGCAGCATCGGAGCCATACTAGGGTGCAGAGCTGAGATATTGCAACTCGATGTCACTGATGTTAAGATGGGCTTCCTCCAGTAGCCGGACCTTTAGCTGTTTAGCATGGCTGGCGTGCAGCCCCTACGCCTGCAAATGATGAGGTAGCGCGGCAATGACGAGCTCAGAAGAACGCTAATCTTTTCTGTCTACTCCCTGAGCAACGTCGTGGCAAATTCTGCGTACCTACATTTTTGCTAAGCGAGCCTAGCTTAACTGGTTGGGTGGAAGGTGTAATGGTATATCCAGTCACCTAAGTCAAGTCTTCTCCATCTCAAACTTTTGGTGTCCATTTTCTTCTAAATGAAAACCAGTCTAGTTTATGATCACATTTTCCCTACTTTTTTCTTCAAAAAAAAACATTTTTGCCAGGTAGATCAAAGTGCACCTTCCATAGCAACATTTTTGTCTACGCTGTGGAGGAGATCATCCCAACTCATTTGGATCCATTGTTACCCCTCGTGCTGTTGTACAATGAAATTTTATTTACTCTATCTGTTCCAAAATAAGTACACATCCAATATTTTGATGAGTCAACAAATCTCAAATTTTACTACATTTATAGAAAATAGTATTGATATTTGTATGTCTAAATTGGTTTACCATAAAAATATATGTCGTGATTATTAATCCAATGTTTTCAAATGTCTTACCGATCCTAGTTGCCATGGCTCTGATACTAATCGTGACTAATCATGACTAATTGGGACTATTGTGACAAATTGTAGGGCATAACTGATCGCGATGACATAAGTGAGCTTGACTAGTAGTGATTAGTTGGACCGTGGACGACCTGAGAACATTGGATTAAAGGGCGAGATATGCACTTATTTTGGGACTCAAGGAGTACACTCATTGTGTGATATCATGCACTGAAGCTCGGATATGTAATGGCCTAACAGATGGCGACAATACATGTGTTTGATTGATTGACTGTATTGGCATGTATCCAAACTTATGCAATGCAGCTTGCTCGTATTTAGTTGTCTGTATAGGGCTTGCACAGTGCTGAAAGCAGACCTCTAATGCTGCACCCAAGTCACACAAACATGAAATATTCTCATCCTTTATCTCTATTGAAAATATGAGAGCTTAACTAAAACATGAAAGCGACTACATGCAATAAAATATAGACAATCAAACATAATTTATTGAGCATATGTTTACGCTGTCTAGGTTATGCACAGGCTAAGGCTACTGCAAGCAACCAATTAGACCCATAAGATAACTGGTAACTTGCATCCACTGAAGCTCGTCCGTACATGGTCCACATCGTTCAGCCGAAATGGAGGGAAGCAACTCAAATGATTACGGAGCCATATTATGCAAAAAGAGATATATTGAGCCAAATAATGAGGCAGCCTTGGTAACAAATGGACATATCATGGTTTATGACACAACTTGTTCAAGATTCAAAATACTGTCACGCGTGAAGTATGTTTGGTACCAACATGTGCCCAACCATACTAAACAGAAAAAGGAACCTCAACAAAGTCTAAACAAGAACACCTCCCACAGTATACACTCCAGTAATTTGAAAATTATTAGCCAAGACTGAAACATCTTTCTGATTCAATGTTTGTTGCACATCCACTCCAAGAAAAAGGTATCAACGCAGCTCAGGGCTGTTTGGATGTTGATCTGCATATAAAACAATGGCATGCTATTGCTCATGAAATCCGACATAAGTATAATGAACCTATTTAAGTTAGAGATTTAATACTTGCCTTTAATTACACAAACGGTTCAGTAGGATTGCAAAATCAGTCAGCAGCCTGCACATGAATATTTGTTTGAGGATTTAGACATAAATCACACTAAGCACGGATATTAAAACACTACCATGACTAAGGCCAAACCACTTGAGATTCTAAGACCAAAAATGATAAATGGCTCAAAATATCACTAGTGAAAATTAGTGGAAACAAGTTTTAGGCACAATTTCACTTACATGTGTTAAAGCCCAGATATGTCAGATTCATACAAATCATGTACATCCACGAAGACATAGTACAAAATCGCTAGGAGATAGAAGCAAAACCTGGTTAAGAGGGTTGTCTGGAGACTTCTTCCACAGTTTCCATATCATGTCTTTGTACTGGTGCAGCGTTAAGCCTGGTTTTTCTTCCTTCAGCTTAGGGAGCTCTGCCTCTTCAAATGCCTATCATAAAATTATCACAAATGCATTCAATCACCAAACATATATCAAACAGTAGAAAAACTAAATGCCTACTGAAGCACAAAAATTTACACCAAGGGTCAAGGTATTGAAAATTATCGCAAATGCTGTGCTGAAAGTGAATATAAGAAGACCACAGTTGTGAATTCTTCAGAAGAATTATATGCCACTTCAATATTTTCTATGTATAGACAAAGCACTATTCTGTATGTGTTTCTTCCTTTAGAAAATGTAATACTGCTGATCACATTGCTTCTGCAGTATAGCAGTGCAACCAAGATTTAAGATAACTCAGCAGCAATAATATAAGTCAAACAGTGTGTGTTGAGCGGAAACTATTCTAAATTTCTCATTCTTAAATTGCAGTACCATATGGAATTAGGAACTGGATTGAAAAATAGGCATATTAGAATGTCCCAAAGCATTGGACCGATTTGGAATAGCAGAGTAAAAGAAAATCATGCAACGCTACAGCATTATTAATTTGCTATCCCATATCAACTATGATGATAGTGTGCTATTTTCAAGCGCTCCAACAGGTGTTGCAACAGTCACTACCATGGTTGGGTGTCCCGTTCATCTGTGCCTACGGAAGTTTTTTTAACAACTTATAGCTCAGGTATGAGAGCACGGTAGTTCTTAAATTTAGCTCCTCATTCCACAAGGACTAAATCATTTTTAACTGCGATTACAGCACCTCACATATCTTTCTCAATCATACCAAAAAAAATTGATATATCTACGTTACTAGTATAACATATATCTATTTTCTTTGTAATTGTGGTGCAATCCTACCAAATTTCACATAGCTATAAAATTATTTAGTAAAAGAACATATAAGAAACAAAATTTGGTAAAATTAATATACCTTAAAGGTCGACTTGAGGCGTCGCTCAGGATGCTTGTCAGCGGGCAGGGACACCTGCGGATCCAGGACCGACATCCGCGCGATGGCCTCCTGAACCGACCTGGCCTCGATGAGGGAATCATCCCTGTTAGTGTTTTCGACAAGCACTACGCGCTCGTACTCCTCCTCCTCGGCGACCCGCGCGGCACGCTTCTTGGCGGCCTCCGCCTCCCGCTCGAGGCGTAGCCGCTCCTCCTCGCGGCGGCGCGCGAGCTCGGCCTCCGTGACCTTGGGGGGTGGGGCGGCGACGCGGGACGCCTTGCGCGCGGCGGCCTTGGACGGCGCCGACGCGGAAGCGGCGACGGCGGCGGCCTCGGCCTCGGCGAGGCGGCGGTTCTCGGCCTCCTCCCGGCGGCGCGCGGCGCGGGACTTGGGGCCCTCGGCCTCGGCCCAGTGCTGCTCCTCCTTGGCGCGCTCCTGGCGGTCGCGGCGGTCGGCCTCCGCGGCGGAGCGGCGCTCGCGGGCCACCTCCGCCTTGGAGTTCACGCCCATCTTCTTCGGCATCGCGGGGCCCCCTCTCGTGCGGCGACTGGCGGCGCGGCGTGGGGCTGGGTGTGACGGCCGGATGGGCCGAAGCAAGTGCAATCTGGACTTCCGCTATGCGATTCGAGGGAATGGAGGGTCGGCGAGGTGTCTTGGCTGGAGAAATTGGCCGGCGGTGGGGACTGCGGTCCTGCGGAGTCTGAGGAGGACGGAATGGGTGAGATGCTGAGATGCACACGTTTCGCTTCCTGAATGCAGTTTCATCGGGCGATTTGCAAAATTGGACTCGAACATCGGTCGTTTACAGGATTCACTTGTTATCCATCGAGTGTCATCGTAATTAAGAGGTTAATCTTTTAAATGTTATTTTTGTAAAATTTTTTAGTTTCATCTCGACCTCTGCCCTGTCCTCAATTTTCGTTTTTCACCTATTATAAAAATCTTTTTTCTCAGATTGTACAATTAGCCATGTAGTGGGCTCAGATCTGGGGACGCCATGACAGCAAGTGTCTACTCTTGAAAAAAAAAAAAGGAAAATGCCACAAGATCCATCGAAGAAAATGTATTTTTTCGTCGTCAATATTATCGCGACCAGAACACTTCTCATCAACACTGGGAATGATCGTGTGAAATCTCTAGCAGTGTCTAAGGCTAGTTTAAGCAGCCTCCAAACAAAGGTCTTAACTCTCAGCTGGATCATTTTATCTTTCCGTACTTGTTGAAAGATGTACAAAACCTGCGTCACCCTGTTCGGCTACAGCAATAAGCTGCTGCTGCAGCAGCCTGCTGGGGCTGTTAGTACAATGAATTTAGAGAGATAAAAAAGCTGCAGCTGCAGCAACGACGGGCTTATTCCCATAATATGTAGCAAATGGGTTTTTTTTCTCGATCTTTGTGAACCCCTTCCATCAGAAAGTCCATATTATCTCTCACAATAAATCAGCGAACAACATTTTTTAACTTATTTTTTCAGCGAAACGAACAGGGCCTATGATTCTTGTTAGAAATTCTTGTTGAATAAAATATATAAATAGGAGTCGAAGCAAAAAAAAAAATTGGATGAGTGTAACAGCCTATTCGTTTCGGCTGAAACGATAGTGGATTATTACTGCTGGCTGGTTTGATGTGAGAGAAAAATACTGTTCTGGCTTATAATCCACGATCGTTTACGATCAAGCGAACATCTGTAAGTCTGCTGGCATGATTGAGCGAATTGGCTTTTGTCAGCATTAATCTAGATTTTAATTTTTGATATATGAAATCATAAGCTTTATTTTTGTCCTTATGGATGATATGTAAAGGGTGACCAAGGTGCATAGTGTCTGGCTTGAAATCTTGGACAGGGAAAAGGTTTTGACTTGAGCTTGCAAGGGTTAGGTTACCTTTCTGCTGAAAAGAATTGAAGATTTTGTCCAATTTGGTGTTTGTCCTGAAATAATAGCACAAAAAAGAATGAAGAATATTTATAATTATTTCCACCTGCTAAATATTTGCTTTACCACAAATGATCTGAGTCATCGGCAAAGAGTATAGAGTGAATCAGCGGACATGCTGGACCTAAAGTGACTCTTGTCAATAATTTATGTTCCAACAAAGCATCCTACAATCTATTAGATAACTCATTTATAGCAATTATAAATAAGTAAGGCGAGAGCGGACATCCCTGTCTAATACCCCTCGTGGCTGAAACGTGACCATAGGGTTAAACGTTAACATTGATAGCAAAGGAGGCAACAGAAATGCAAGAATGGATTAGCATGATGAAATGTTCATCGTATCCCTTACGTCGTAACGCATCAAGGACAAAAGCCCATTCGACACGATCGAACACTGTAGCAAGATCAATTTTCAGCATGAAAACATGTCGTGTAAAGGAGTTCGAATTGAAAGAATGATTTTTTTGGACTATGATAATGTGTAAATGTTATCAGTAATTTTCTTAACTTGAATAAAAGTATGTTGAGATGATGAATGTAATCAGGTAACTCCTCTTTAAGACGGTTTGCCAAGGATTTAGCGTGATACAGTAAGACTAATGGGACTATAGTCAGTGAGGTGAGTAGCATTGGCCTTTTTAGAAATATCATCAAAGCAATTATCAGTACGATGTAGAGGTTTTGCCATATTACGGATAAATAATCAGTGCAATTATCAGCTCCGTCCTAGCATCATAATGACGATGGATCGCTGACCCGGTCGAAACTTTGACGAAGCAAAAAATAAAAAAAAAAAAAAAAGTCAAGCTATATGTACATGTCACGCCACAACTTTGGTAACTTGGCCGGTTACAATAATACAGTCCCGATACATTCTTGGCCAATGCGCGCTCAACGAATTCACACGGAAAGACTGCCGCCGACTTCACGCCACGCCTGTTACTCAATCGATCCAAGGGACTCCCATCACCTTCGCCGCGAACGCGTATCGATCCGCAGCCTCGTCGATCTGCCACCCACAACAAAACGGAGCGATTCAGTTCAACGGACCGTGCACGAGAAAGCAGGGAAAGCGGGGCGCGAGAGAGCATACGATCTTCTGCGTGGAGCGGCCACAGCAGTGGCTGCTGTTGCGCTCGATCCGGGCGATGATGGGGTTCGTCTGCGGGCTGCCCTCCGCGCCCGCGCGCAGGACGTGCTGCATCGTCTGCCGGATCATCGCATTGGATTCGAATTCGAGTGGACACAGCACAGCAACGACGCCTCAGACACGTACGGGGCTACGGAAAAAAGAAGAGAGCAGCCGATCGAGTCGAGACTCGAGACCACGAACGTACCGCGAGGAACTTGAGCGTGTGCGACGGCACGACGCGGTCGTCGTGGTCCGCCGTCAGCAGCATGGTTGGAGGGTACTGGCCGCCCAAGGCGCCGCTGGCAGCCGCTGCCGCCCACTTCTCCTTCTCCCGCCGCCGCACGTTGTGGAGGGGAGAGTACCTGCATGATCAAATGCGTCATTGGCGACTCTCTGTGTGTCTGTGGACTGCGAATTTGTGAAAACAGACAGTAGGAGCAGGTGCAACGACAGGCAAGTGTAAAAGTAAAATTCAGTCAACGTGAACAACGTGAACGTTCAGAGAAATAAGAAGCCAGCGCCATACTTGATAAGCCAGTGGAACTCTTCCTCGTTCTCCGAACACCCGAAGTCGCAAGTCCATGCACGACCTGTACAGCAGATGCAGAGGAGCAGATTCGTGAAAAGTCTGTACCTTCTGCAGTGAGACTAGTTCTTGACAAGTTGTGTTTTTTCCTTCAAGAACAGAGGCAGAACCGTACCTATGGTGAACTTGTGGAACCGTAGCATGTCCATCACTCCCACATGGGCCAGGGCACAGCCAAACAGATCAGGACGCTGCAGCCACACGACCCAACCCACAAACAGATCAGCATCTTGTTCATTTCTCTGCAGTGCATCATGTACGAACCGAGACAGGGGAACTAACCTGGTTCATGCAGGCAGCTACCATGAGCCCCCCGTTGCTGCCGCCCTCGATGCACAGCCTCGCCGGGCTGGTGTAGCCCGCGGAGACGAGGAACTCGCCGGCGGCGATGAAGTCGTCGAAGCAGTTCTGCTTGTTGGCGAGCGACCCGGCCCTGTGCCAGTCCTCGCCGTACTCCCCGCCGCCCCTGATGTTGGCGACGCACGTCACGAACCCCAGGTTCCTCATGAGGACCACGCGGGTGACGCTGAATTGCGGCGTCATGCTCATGGCGAAACCGCCGTAGCCGAACAGTAACGCTGGGTGTGAGCCGTCCAGGTCCATGCCCTTCTTGGATACGATGAACATTGGGATCTTGGTTCCATCCTTACTCGGATAAAATACCTGAATGAATGAACATAAAAACAACAACACAGCATAGTTCGATCATATGTACTCCAATGATCTGTTGGGCTATCCCTCCACACAGAGGATACAAATTGAGCCCAACAAAACAGCCCATGTTCAGTGCTTGTGCATCGTTGATCTAATCTTTAAATTAATAGTTGAGATTGCTTCTTGGGAAGCATAAAAGAGAGAAAACCCTAGCCTCTACTCGGAGGACATCAAAGAGCAAGAGAGAGAGCTGTTGTTTCTGAGAAAAGAGAGAGAGCAGAACACACACACACAGCGTGAGAAGAGAGGAAGAAGAAGAAGAAAAATCTGTCCAGATCTCGTGGCTCTGAATCGGTCAACTTCTAAGCCGGTGATTGGTGGCTCAAACGTGGTTGGATTGGCACCAAACTTGGTGAGTGTCGATGTTTTACCACCGGCAACCCGTCACGGGGTACCCGGGACGGTGATTTGTTCGAAGGGGTATCGGCGTTTGTAGGAACTCGACGGTGAACACAAGAGACAGTCGATTTATCCTGGTTCAAGCCCTCGACTATGGTCGAGTAATAGCCCTACGTCCAGTCGATGTTAGCCCTTGCGTTGTATTGATTGTGTCGTAGAAGTTGTTATCTTCTCTCTAGGAACCCTGCCCTCCTTTATATAGTCAGGAGGTCAAAATCCTAGTCGGTTTATAATAAGAGTTCTTAGTAGGATTACAGGATAATACTGCTACTAAGATTACATGGGAAGAATCCTAGTTAGACTAGATCTTCTCTCCTCCTTGCAGGGTATCCTGTGGGTCCCGCACCGACAAGCCCCCGAGCACTTCATGGTTGAGCTCTGGAAGCTTCGTCTTGTTCTTTCAGGCTTTGTCGAGCAGGAATAAGCGTCGTCCGAGTGCTTTCTTGAGCGAAACCGTGTAGCGCTCTGTGAGATCTTCGCGTGGAGTGTACCTTTTTGAAGAAAAAAGTATTCCTCTTTGAGTGTAGCCCCCGAGCCTCTTGCTATTTGGAACAAGGAGCTGGAGGGTCTTGTCTTGAAATCGCTCTGATCCTTCGTTGAAATGTTCCCGAGTATGTGCCCGGGTTCTTTATCAAAAAGAACTCGGATATAGCTCGGTCCGGCTTCTTTTTGTCATGATTCCTTGAAATAGTTTTGTCTTGAAGAAGTCTTCTTGGTGACATGCGCTTTTTCGAAGAAAAAAAAGTGCACTCACTGAGTGTAGCCTCCGAGCCTCTTGCTATTTGGAACAAGGAGCTGGAGGGTCTTGAATCTTATGTTGTTTTAAAATTGCTGACTTGAAGAAGTTTTTCGAGTGATGTGCGCTTTTTTGAAGAAAAGGTGCACTCACTGAGTGTAGCCCCCAAGCCTCTTGCTTTTTGGAACAAGGGGCTGGAGGGTCTTGAGTCTGATTTGTTCGAGGAACTGAAATCTTCTCCTATTGTAGCCTCTGAGCATTTATCTGGGTTCTTTAATTCTAAAAGAACTCGGACGCATTGTTCTTGGCGTATTCTCTGGTAGTCTGCGGTTTGTCAGGTGTAGTTGTATGGTGGTGGTTGAGTGTAAATGTTGCCTATTCACGGGTTTTACAGCGTTGGCATATTCTTCCGAATATGCTCGTCTTCGAGTACTGTTCCTTCTGAGTCTTCCATTATTGAGTCCTGTCTTTTCACTGTGTCTTTTGAAAGGCTTGTTTCATTGGTACTCCTAGTCCATGTGCGCCGCTCCTTTGATCTATAAATACCCTCCTGGGGTGCTTGCTTTCATCCATTGAACATTTTGTTGAAAAACTTCATAGTCATGAATATGGTGGTTTGTGAGGTAGAGCAGCTCCCGGGCGTATCTTGTAGTTCCTGTGTATCTTGTCGTAGCTGGAGGAAGTCTTGTGATGTGGGCTTCGTTCCTTCATCCGGTAGTTCTGGGTTGATCCTCGCCGTGTGTCTTGAGACTGTCCGGTGCAGATCAACACCTGATCCTGCATCACGTCGGGCTTGGGTAGACAGATGCCTGCCGACTTCCCCTGGTCTATGTTGTCCCGTCGTGCTGCTGATTTTTGCCTTGGATGCACTGCGTTCGTCCTTTGAAGAAAACAGTGTAGCCGAGCATGGTTTGTTCTACCAAGTAGCAATTTGGAGCACGTAGTCGTTCCAGAGCCTAGTTGTGTCCGGGCTCCTTTTTACTACCTTGCTTGTCGTAGTGCCGAGTTCATTGGGTCTTGTAAGATGTGTAATCTTCTATTTTTGAAAGCCATTTGTAATGGAAAGAATCTTGTCTTCAGAGTTGTCATTCATTTTTCTGCTGTAATCCTGGTTATTCATGAGACTCCCGAGTTCTTTCTTTAATAACCGGGTTCTTTTGTTTCTTGTGAGGTGGCCCTTTGTTTCTTCATGGTTGGCGGGTTGTTCTTGTAGTGATCTGATAACCCTGCCATGCTGCTGGATGGATGAGTCTGAAATCTGCCCGTTAAACTGTACCGTTGTGTGGATTTGTGCCGTCCGTCATTTTAGCTGTGTCAGTAAATGGACCGTTGCGTTCCCACACTGTGTTTTAACGGGCCTGGTGGGCCGTTTTTATCACTGAAAAATCTATTTAAAGACATTTTATCTTCTTTTTCTTTACTGTCCAGCTCTTGCCTTGAAACCCTAGCTTTCAGAAATCCGCCTTCGCCATTGTCGCCGTCACCCGAGTGCCGCCATCCTAGCTTCGCTTTCCCCAATGCCTTTTTGCTTCCGCTAGTTCATGGGTAAGAAGAAAACCGCAAGCAAGTCCTAGGCAGCCTTCGTGGACGAGGAGTCATCCCTTTCTTTGATCGAGAACCAAGAGTTCGTGGCTATGAGGGCTGCTCAGAAGGTTTGGCCGGCTCCGACAACAACCGAAGACCAGCTCCGCGAGCTCGTCAACGATGGCTTGATCCAAAGCAAAGACATTGCTGAATGGAGAGTTCCGGGCGAGCACCGGGTTCCTGCTCCAGGTCCTGGTGAGATTGTTATTTTCGTTTCCTTTATCCGCGCCGGTTTTTGCCTTCCTGCTTCTGCTTTCCTTCATCAATTTCTTGGTTATTTTGGGGTTAATCTGAACCATCTAACCCCTAATGTCGTCCTCCATCTTTCCATTTTCGTTCATCTCTGTGAAGCTTTCCTTGGAATTCCTCCTTCTCTTTCTCTTTTCCGCCACTTCTTTCGTTTGAAACCTCAACCCTGCCGTGAAGAAACCAGTGTTCTTGGCGCTGTGGGATCCAGTTTCGCCAGGGTTTTAAAAGCTAGTTCTTTAACTATGACCTGATTGATTCTGTGAGGGATTGGCGTGCTGATTGGTTCTATGCCGCCAATTTGATTCCTTCTCTTTCCATACATTCTGGGTCTGGTCCCTCGGTTAATGACCGGTGGGAAAAGAAATCCCTGACACCAAACGAGCTCCAGGTGATCCAGCCATTCCTTGAGCGGATACACACTCTAAAGCAGCAGGGCTTGACCGGCTTCGATATTGTCTCGAGCTTTCTTCGTCGTTGTGTTCAGCCTCTAAAGGAGCGAGAGAACCTTGGCTTCGAGTATTCTAGGGATGAGGATTCTTCCCGCATGGTCCTGGCCCTTGAGCTGACCGACGAGGAGGTACTTGAGCGTCTTTGGAAGATGCTGAAAGGAGCAAGCGTTGTCCCGCTTACTGTCTCCGAGTACTCCGCCAACAACCTGCCTCCAGCTGTAAGTCGTTTTCCCTTCGTGCGGTACTATCTGTATTTCTTTTGCTATATCTATTTTTGCTTAATTTTCCTTGTCTTGTTGTTTTATTCTTTTCGTAGGAATTGGGGCACAATTTTGTTGACCCGATCCCCCTTGATGTCCTTCCTGCCGTGGTGAATACTGGGGAGAACCTTGTTGGGGCTTATGTAACCAGTAAGTTCCCAATCACCACAGTGTTTCCTAGAGTTTCTTCCGGAGTTGTTGATGTATATGAAGAATATGTTCCTCGTCCAGTCCCTCGAGGTCCTCGTAGTGTCTCGAAGAGGGGGCGAGCGGATGGTTCTTCATCTGGTTTATCTGCTTCCAAGAAGTCTCGCCAGCCAAGTACTCATACAGGTATTCCAGTTGTAGCTAGCATGCTCTTAGGTGAGCATATTAATACACTATGTTCCTTTGTCTTCTTGTTTTTATCTTGAACCGAGTACTTTTGTTCTTTTTTCAGCTGGTGTTATGGTGGCCTTGGTCGAGACTAGGGAAGAAGAGGATGATGATGCACCCCTTATCATGCGGTGGTGAGTTGTTTTCTTATTTCCCTGTAATTGAAACCTTCTTTTTGTTTTGACATTGGTTTTGATCTCTTTGTAGTAGATACCAGTTTTTCTGAAGTTCCTGCTCCGGGTTCTTCTGCGGCTCCAGTACCGAGTTCTTCTGTAGCTCCGGTACCGAGTTCTTCTAGGGCTCTGGTTCTTGCTACGCCGCTCCTGTCGCTGAGTGGCGGGGACATTTTTGCTGCCTTGGTTCCCCAGCAAGGTCTTCTTTTGGTTTAATGAGGAAGAAGATAGCTGAGTGAGTGAATTCTGATTTTGTTTCTCTACTTTTGTTCTTCTTTTTTCTTATTCTTTTTTGACGGGTTCTCTTGTCATCTTTCAGGCCTTCATCTTCCCCGGCCCTCCAGTCGACTTCTTGTCAAACCTCTAGTGTGCCCTTGCATGCTGAGTCTCAGGGCTTGGAACGCACGGGCGCCAAGGTGGCTGTGAGGGGGATGGAGTCCGTAGCTGCTGATTTGCCAACTCCCGAAGTGACCGTGGCCATGGCGGCGGGTTCAACTGAGGGATTGGCCTTGGCTTCCCGGGAGATTGCTTTGGTCGTGCCTACTTCGACTCGGCCGGCTTCTCCTTCTCTTGCCTCCGGTGGTCTACCTTTTGCTGATGATGTGGTGCAGCAGTTTGATGCCACTCATCGTCTATCGGAGTTAACTGCCGCCTGGGGAAGCTTATCGACCCTTGCGACTTCTTTTGGAGAAAAGCTCCAGGTAAGTTTTTCTGCCGTTCCTTC